AAGTACTATATGATGAGGCCAATGAAACAATTTATTTGAGAAAATTGCATAGTGAGATACTGTTGGCTAAATTTGAGAACAGTCCAACAATTGTAACCAAGTTCCAATAGCTATTTCCAAATACCTACACACCACAATATAACAAAATATGTTGATAGAATGTATCATTCTGTGTGAGAGTATGTGGAATGAAAAGATATGGTCATAGAGAGGTAACATATCTCCATATACATTTTATAATAGCTGCCCCTTGACTAAGGGAGTAAACATAAACACACATGAAAAGTGTGTAAGGGGTATGGGATTGAGATATATAGGCTTCTTGTGATGAACCTGTGATGAGCCTTAGTGGCGTTGCTATTGATTATGTGCCATGCTATGTGATTACCTCGTTGCCTGTGTGGCATAGCCACCTTTGAGGCAATGAAGCCTATGTGGCATGTATAAGCACCCTCCAAGGGTAGTAGAGAATATCTTTGGATATTTATTAGTTCATTTAAGTGGCAAAATCCCTCCAAAGGCAAAATGTCACAAAACACCACCAACTAGCAGTCTTTCAACTCCAATTATCCACATTGCGAACGAGGCTAGACTGGATAGTTATAGTTGGCATGGCTCATTGAGCATAACCACCAGCTAGCAGTTTTTTTATTGCGTTCCAAATTGTGATGGCTAGCTCAGCTCTCCGTACAGTTAAGCATGACCTCTGCCTAGAAATCTTTTGACTCTGTGATGCTCACTGTGATGGCCAGAATGGATCACTGTGATGGCCAGAATGGACAACTATATGTGGCATGGGTTATTGAGCATGACCTCCAGCTGGTGTGTCTTGTTGACATTGCTTTCCACTCTATGATGGCTAGTTTGGATAATTTAAGGATCCTCTGGAATCATGGCATGATTCACTATTCCGATACTTCAATTTCAAAGAAAAAAAATATTCATTGTTACGATGGTTACTCACCTTTTCAGGTGGCAGAGACCCATTTCTTAAAGTGGTATACATTTCACGGTATGAGTGTCCCATAATCCGATGCATTTTGGAGGACAATAGCGAGAGAGAGAGAAAGAGAGAGCACTAATCTAGAAGCATATAGGTGAAGTTCATGATATGGTTGAAGAAAAATGCAATACATCAAGACCATTGAGTGTGGAAAGTGTGTGTTTGATCCATAGTTACCGGTAGCACCTATGTAGGGGGTCTACTTTTGCCCCGAAATCTCGATCCCACTCTTCAAGTGGCCGGATCTTGATTCCAAGCGCTTCCCTGCTTATTCGAATCTCGTATTCGGAGTTATGGGAACTCGATTCCTATTATTTGGGAACAAGGTCCCTACCAAGCGGGATCCAAATCCCCATGACCAAGATAATGGCCCCAATATCATTCGGAACCATGATTCCATCATAGCAAGAACCGAGAATCCTATACCATGGGAGTGAGATGCACCTATAAAGTTTATTTTATCCATGTATAGTATTCGGTTTTCCTATTATTTGGGAACAAGGTCCCTACCAAGCGGGATCCAGATCCCCATGCCCAAGATCATGGCCCCAATATCATTCGGAATGATGATTCCAACATACCAAGAACCGAGTATCCTATACCATGGGAGTGAGATGCACCTATAAAGTTTATTTTATCCATGTATAGTATTCAGTTTTCCTCAAATTTTCTACAACACACGCATTTTGTAATGACACTTGTGTCCAATTTTAAAGACAGGAACTAAGGTAAGGACAGGATTGGAAGGAGGTTCAAAAGTTAGCTGTGTTGCAATTTTATTGTGAAGTGAGGTCACGATCGATACACTTCATTACAGTAAAAAGGATGTGTTACACAATCTGTTGATGTGTTGCACAATCGGTTAATGGTGCGTTTCCAACGAAATAAGATAATATTATGTACAAGTCTCCGAGTACAATTGGAATGGGTTGCACATTGTAAACTATAATTGTATTGTAATATTGAACTGATCATGTTGTGTCAATGTACCATCGTTATGTAGACGCTTCTCATCTCGGGTGAGATATGAAAGGGTAACAGTGGGTGGATGGCCATTGGTTGTGGCATGTTTATTGTTCGTGTGTAAAGAAAATGAAACCAAATAGTGTTAAAGGACCTGTAACCCCCAACACTAAGAACTCACACCATCTTAAATACTCAATGACTTTTCTTGCCAATCTAAAGTTATCACTTAATCCTATAGGAAAAGGAAGGGAAAAAGAACAAAAAATGCAACCATATCTTCATATTCATGTTTGGGATCACATTCTTGGGCATTAGGGTTGATTAGAGCACAGTCTTGGTAGAAAATATGTATAACCCATAGCATTTCACTCCCCCCACTCTCTCGCCCACTTGCACTATCCACCCAAGAGCCCATTATTAACATACCAAAAAATGGAACTCACTCCCAATTTACAATATAATTGAAATAGTAAACTCTGGAAACCTTGAACCTAAGAATGGCACAACGTGATCCCTTATGGTAGGGAACCCGCTCCTGTCCATATAGAAATGCGCTCCCCAGAAGTCATGGAACTCATTCCCTTCCCTAGACCATGTACGGAGCTCACTCTGCCGTCTAGGAAACTTTAAGATAGACTTGCTCTGTGCTCCCATTCCCGTTCCCGAAACTCCCCACGTTCCCGTTCCTAGTAACTATGGTTTGATCCCATTGAATGGATGAATCATATGTGTGGATAGAGTTGTTGTTGTGTTGATAGAATTGTTGTTTGAGAATGTACAGCTCAAACAACTTATACATAGCTACTAAAGTTTTGTTTAAAGGTTTTACAAATATTTTAAAACGAGTGGGGGAAAGTTAAAGAAAATGAATTGTTTATAAAATATTGGAAAAACAAAAGAGCCCATTTTTATTTGTTTTTTCCTTTTCTTTTCTACCCCACTTGAAAGTGTTTCAAAAAGTGAAACAAATAAAATAAGAAGGCAGCCACATGAGATGAGGGACAAATAGCTATTGAAAGGTACCACTTGGCCATTCTCTTTCTGAAAGTGTCTCCTTTATCTTCTCGTTTAAAGTGGCCAAATATTGGAAGGGTCAAGGCACCTTGCATGAGTTCCTTTCTCTCTCTAAAACCTCTTTCTCTCTCTTATGTCCTGGTGAGCTGGGTATAGGGACGTGCCTCTCATCTCTGTGAGAGCTCTTTAGTATCACAGGATGAATTATAGCACCATATTCCCCGATTCACCTCTTTCTCTCCCTAGATTACTTCCTAACATTTGTTCTCCAGCAAGCTTCTCTTCTCTCTCATGAGCTCTACCCATGGCAAGCTCTTTCTCAACAAGTTTCTCTCGCTAGGAAAGCAACAAAACAGGGCATGAAAGTCTCCACAAATTTGGTGAGTTTTGCTCATCTTTTGCATTTAAAATATTACTTAAAGTTGTGTAAAAGTTGCATGAGCAAGGAGAAACTCATCGGGTAGCATTCTTAGTTATTTGAAATGGTTTACATGGAGTTCTGATTTAAACACTCTTGCTTGAAATTTGCTTTAGGTTGATGAGAACTCTTGGATAGTTGGATGATGTTCACAACAATCATAATTGATTTTGAGTTTTGATTTTTTTTTACGTATCACATGACTGTGATCCTAATGCATGATGTTTTTAAATGGTTAATGAAATTTGCAGCAAGCTATAGTGATTGATTTTGATATTAAATGAAGGTTGCATGTCAACTATTTGATGATTTTCCTAGTTTAGCTGGACTATCAGTTTACATGCTAATATAGCTCTATTTCCTTTTTAAAAACCAAAAGATTCGTTGTATTGGGCCAGAGCATTTCTCGGATTTGTACTTAAAAGGGCATCCCTCCTGGGAATTCCTTTGCTTAATAACATTTCTTGGACACCTATACTATAACAGGCGAATCAGAAGACCTTGAAACCAAGATATCACATATATTGCTCTAGAAGGCCTTTCCTATTGATGCAATAGTCCTTAAAGATGCCATAATTGATGATGAATGGGTTTGTACTTACAATATTTGGATTTCACAGATAGTGTTTTGAATTTGTTAATATTGTTTGCATTTTAATCTAATAAGCTCTTCGCACACAACAATGAGGTTACAAGGCTTTGAACATAGGCAACAATTTATGTGCTAAATTGTTTAAGATGTATTTGACAGACCATTCAAGAATATTGGAGATCTAATGAACTGGTGGAGATGAAACTAATTCATACACTTATCTAGGATGAAATGATAGATGACAAAGCTTTGAAATTTTCACAGCATTTTATGTAGCAAAATATAGCCTGTGAGCATTTTCTCATCAGTTTTACGTAGTAAAATATAGCTTGTAAGCATATTGTGCATATTGTACATGTCCCTTATTTCACACCAATCGACAATTGCAATGATCAATAGAAAATATTTTTTAGAATAACCATATCTATAAAAGAACAACTGAATGCTAGAATAGAAGACCCAACTAAAGTAAATCATCAACAATATATATATATATATATAGAGAGAGAGAGAGAGAGTCTAAGTTATCCACTAACTGAATGGAGAATTATCTGAACTGTCTACTTGTATCTACTGCTATGGGTGGTATGCCCAAAAAGCCTCATTCAATTGACAAATTTTAACACCTAATATATGAAATTTGTAATGAATGATTCCCAAAATCTAAAGCTGCTAATTTTAGCAGACAAAGGAAACTGAAATGAACCACTAATCCAAACAGGCGAGCAAACAACGGTTTGTATCTTCTAGGCTCTAAATTTCAGATCTCCTATGTTCCAAGGCTCCCAGTTTTTTAGGGAAACTGCATGGGAAATGATGGAATGTCCCCCTGAGACATTTTCTTGTGATTTATTGAGATCAACTTTCATATTTTTCAATCATGGGTTATAACTTCCACTCAAGAAGTAGCTTTTTTTCAATAAAAATAATAATAATAAAGCCAAAAACAGCATGTCTAAATGTAGTGATCACTACATAAGCTCAAACTTCATGCACCAAAACATTACCTTTGAGATCCCTGTAGATTCTTAAGTTCAGCAATAAATCGAGCAAAGCACCGGATCCCATTCCCACACATCTAAAAGCATAAGAAAATGAGAGAAAAGAAAGTGGTCATAAAGAGATAGCATGGACTAACATCATTAAAGAAATAAAATCAGTATAATCGCTTGAAAGGGAAAGGAATATAATGTATAAGCATATGACGCCCCCAACCTCATAAGAATTACCACTAACACCACACAATATGTCAAGGCAAGCAGCCTATTATAGACCCTTTCAGATCATGCCATGGTTTAAGACAAGGGAAAAAATATGGTAAGCTTGTGAGCTCAGCATATACAAGTTTGCTCAAGGTTCGAACACCTAGCGAGGGGATTCGTTAGACTTTGAAATTTTTTCAAGTTAGTAATCCCTTGCATTGTGGATGAAAAAAAAAGAAGAAGAAGAAGAAAAATATTATAAGCACTAAAAACCCTAGATCTAATCATCCAAGCAACTTATGGTCTAGCACCATTCTTGGAGCAGGAATTTATTTGGAGCGTTTCCTAAGCTCCAATATTTTTGTCCTTTTTTGGATTGATCATAGAGATGGATAAGGATGATTTGAGATTTTTGGGGAAAAACTAACTCAACTAGCTAGGTGCTCAGCCCTCAGGCCAACTTGACACTTTCAGCTCATGGGCTAACCAAATCTCTTCGCTTAAGAAAAAGCATATATATTGCAGGCACAACCTTTTCCCAATACCTGCAATAGACTGCAATTACAGGTCGATACTTGGCATACTTGAAATTTAGGTTGCAGACTATCAAACTTCACCATTACCAATTATAAGCATTAGGAGACCTCTCAAAACAAGACATGTTGATACTAAACAAACTTGAAATGTTAGTTGTTTCCTAGTGAGTTCTTAAATGGAACCGAGTTAATCGATGCAAAAGAGAGAGAAGACGACCTATTGATCTTAAAAGAGAAAAAGAAAGTTAAGCAAAAATGCACATGTCAAATTACAGTAGATAGTTAACAGATAGACACATGCCAATGAGCACATACACAATTCACAAAAAGGTCTAGATTGCCATAATACATAAAACTCTAGATTGCCATAATACATAAAACTATGTAAATCACAATATCTTACTGGATTCTTGCCTAGGATAATATAAATACAACATAAGTAATAACAGGAGAGAGAGAGTGTGTGTGTGCGTGTGTGCGCTTTGGACTGAACCTCTGGCTCACTGCCATCGGAATTGAATATACGCATGGAGTAATCCGTTCCGTCAACGCCGGGCATCACAAATATCACACCATCAGCCCCAACTCCAAAGTTTCTATCACAGAGCTTCACCGCCTGCTCTGGGGTCACCATGGGCTCCATAGAATCTCTATTATCAACCTGATCACGAAAGCATGGACAACAAAAACTTCATTTCTCTACAAATAAGAACAAAGCAAAGTAAAAACCCCAAAAAGAAAAAATATTTCGCAGGAAATTACCATTGTTAAACTTCAATTCAAGAAAATCAAAGAAAACCCAAAAGACAAGGTTCATTCTTTATTCTTTTTCTTTTACTCTTTTGTCAGAAAACTCACCATGATGAAATCGTTGCCCAGGCCATGATACTTTGCAAAATGCAGGAACCCACAGTCTTCATTTTTGGATTTTTCCTCAGTGGTTTCAACACCAAGTATCGAAGGAGCTGATGGGGTAATGAGGGCTCTGATGCAAGGTAGAAATGGCGCGGCTCTGAAACGAAGGTTAGGGTTTCGGGGTAGTAGAAAAAGTGATTTTGGAGTGGGTTTTGTGCAGAAGAGGTTAGAGGAAGTGGAAGAGGAGGATGCAGACATGGCCATGGCGGCTCTGAGTGCAAGGCTTGCTCTACTGCGACTTCCAATTTCACATGTTTGAGAGAAGACCCAAGTTTTTAAGCGCGTTGTCATTGGGAATGGCCCCAGCAAAGGTCCAATCCGGGACCATCCTAGTGCTGGGCCGGGTTGGGCTGCTTTGTAAGGTTGCCTCGGCCTACACCGATTTTGATTCGGCTGAAATTTAGTAGGCCTTTCGTTCAACTGCTCACAATTAAACTTAATCATTCGATGTGAAATTAGAAGGTAGAATTTACTTCATTGACCAACCACAAATTTCAAAATATATTTTCTTGAACTTTATAAAAGCAGTCAAATTTCACATTATAAATAATTGTGACCTCCTTCTATAAAAGTAAATCGTCTCATTATATTCAATCCCATTTTAGTTTGGACTCGGTTTTGGTGAGTCAGCCGACTCACTATGGTTCCTTGTTTATCTCATGTCCATCTCTAAGATGGGTGTCCAAAAATGTTACATCCACTAAAAGTTAAAATCGACGGTGAAAAAAATAATTCTAAGTTTTATATTTTTTGAAAAGGAAAAATTCCAAACTTTGATCATTATCATGGTTGAGATTGTCAAACTCCAAAATTTTAGATGGAAAATTCATCTTTGAGATATGTTTTGTAGGGAGACCTCACAAAAATAGTGTGCATCGGCGAACTCACCAAATCTTTTCCTTTTAGTTTTGGGAGCGGTTTGTATCTTTTAGTTTTGGGTGCGGTTTGTATAGAGTCATGGTTCTAAACAATCAAATTTGAGCCCACCTTCAAATAGTGTCGACTGGGAAAGTTTTGTGATAGCTGTAAATTATATTTTCATTTTTAGGTATAAAATTTAAAGCTTCAAAAATATTGTAGATCGATAAGATCTATGAAGACTTGAAAATCTTAAAAATTGACAATTGAAAATACGCTACAAGATGCACAATTTTCAAAACTTGAAATTCATTTTTTTCTCATGTCCATGCATCTTGATATCGAGATGATTAATTTGACGATATTCGAATATCAAAACAACCTTTCCTAATGAATGTTTTGAAGTAGGCTCCAATTTGATTGTTTAGAGCGTAGGCTCTATATAAACTTTTCCCTTTAGTTTTTTAGAAGTGGGATCGTGTACGGATAATTTTTTATGCTTTATTACAAGGTCATATCTTTCCAAAAATTATACGGAGACCGCCTGCACCTCGTGGTCCTTTTCTTTTACTAAATTGTTCGTCTATTGCATTTATAACACCAAATACGTGAGAAATTCTAAAAAATATGGTCATCTCCATTAATAATGACATGATTAGTACTACCAACATCAAACAATATGTTGTTGGTATTTGTAATACTGGATAGCTCCACTTATAAAAAATAATTTTACTCAAGCGTGTCTGATATTAATAATAATGAACAGCCTTGCTTGATGTTTTCAATGTCGAACAACTCAACATTTTAAGCAATCCAATATTAGAAATATCATACTTATTATAAGTAATTAGTATTATTTAAATTATTACTAATGAATTGGTATAATAGAATTTGTGTGATGTAATTAATTTTATTTATTTATTTATTGTATTTGTATTTCAATTTATGCTTTAATAAACTTTATTGAAATAGAATTTATCATAATAGAATATTTATCTATTCTTGAATATTTAGTATATAGCGATATTTAATTAGATTTTCTATGTGCATTTTATTTTATTTTAAAAAAAATTATTATTAGAATATAAAACTACATATAAAATAATAGAATGGTTCAATAGAAATGTAAAATAGATAAAAAAAATAGAATATAAATAAATTAGAAATTTAGAAATAGAAAATTATAAATAAAAAAATTAAAAACTAAGTAAAAGATAAAAGATGATCTATTGAAAAATAAAAACAACAATAAATTAAAAAATAATTACATTACATAAATTCTATTATACTAATAAATTAATAGAAATTTAAATAATTCTAATTACTTATACTAAATTCGATTTTTCTAACATAGGATAGTATAGGATGTTGCCTAAAGTTAGTAACAACCACCCTAGCCTTAAGATATTAAATACAACAATTTAAGGTGTTGCAAGAGTAAGTAAAAAATCGTATTGGCCTTTAAGCCAGTTCAATGGCACTACCGTAACCACCTGACTTTACATCCAATTACCAAAAGCGATTGGTACTTCGTTTTACCTAAGGTAAACCATCTTTATTGGATATTTTTCTTAAATTATATATTATTTTTTCTTATAATTTAGACATAATACTTTTAATTTAGATAAAATATTTCTTATATATATGTATTACAATTTTCCCCATCTGTGTCTCTAGTGGATAGAACTCAATTCTCTCTCCCCCACTAACCCACTATTAAGCTCTCTCTCTCTCTCCCTCTCTCTCTAGCTAATCCTATTATCATCTCTTTACATAAATCCAAATCGTGACTCTCTCTACATAAATTCATCTTACTTCTCTCTCCCTCTCTCACTCTAAAATAGATCCTTCTTGCTGCACAAACAAATTGTTTTTCTCTCCCTATGGCTTTCTATCTAAATAACTAAGAGAAAGGTTTCTATACTTCTCCTACAGCATAGAAGATTTATGTTTCCCCTACCATCCAACTGTCCAATTTTGATCAAAAGAGTCACTCACCATTTGATCTTAGATCCGATGTCTCAAAGTATTTTATTTTTTATTTTTTTTATACAATTCGTATGAACATGAAAGTTGGTACATGATATCTTCTCATTGGGGCACACCTATAAAAATATTAAAAATAATTTTTTGATAAATATAATGACCAAAATCCCCCTTGAAACCTTCAGGGGTATTTGGATTATTTTATTTTATTGGAAATATTTTTTTAGATTTTTTGCTACTGTGAGTTTAATAGAGGATTGGACGAAAATAAATTGGTGTCAAAATAATTTATATAGAAAAATTTAAAAAAAAATAGTGTAGAGACGTGACATTGTGATTGGGGCAATCTTAGCCCTCCATTCAGAATGGACGGTTGGATAAGGGAAAATATAAGTTTTATGTTGTCGGGGAACCATAGAAAGCTTGCCTAGTAACTAATCCTACTCTATAGTGGGCAAGTTGGCATATTGTTAGCCTTTTTTTAGTTTAGAAGAGAGAGAGACTAGTAGTATTGACTTCCATTACCATTAACAGCTTTAAAAACCAATTACTAATTAAAATAAGGGTAAGGGCTTGTCATCCCCATTGAATTACCTAAGAAAAAAAAAAAAAAAAAAGTGGAAGACACCCAAAGAAGGGCAAATTTTGAATTAAAATAGGCTTTATAAGGGTTCGGAGTTTCCCCTAACTTGTCTTTGTTAAGCCCCTCTTAGATCACAAGCTTATATGTGGCTGGGTAGGTTTTTGGAACCTTATATTCTATGATTGTGCTCCTAAGAGGCCTGCCCTATACAAAATACCAAGTATCGAGGGCATATAATTTGGATAAGCATCCATGCTGGTTCATGTCTCCTAAGTAGACTTTCACTTTGCCATAATTGAATGAATCATTGAGGAGAAGAATGAAATATTGATTGGCCATCACCGAATACTTAATTAAGGAATAGTTTTAGTATTTATCTCTTACCGTCTTGATCTCAAACTCATATAGTTTAGATAAAGACTTTATACTGGGCCCACACTATACCTCGAACCCAATCCCCCATATTCACTTGTACCAGATCTTTCTTTTTCTTGAGTATACCTGTATCAAGTCTTTCTTTTTCTTGAGTAGATTATAAAAACTTGGCTCATACTTCTCATGACGAAAAAGTTTTAACTCATATTTCTCATAAGAAAAAAGTTTATGTAAGATCACAACCTTATACTATTGAAGTAAGGTGCACATAAAAAATCCTCTAGAAGAGACTTCGTACAGAGGGCAATTTGATAGCACTGCTTGCGCACTTGTTTGGGGAAACATGGGGCGAATAGTAGGGTGCACAATTGTACACTAGCCGCTATAATTGCGAGCAAAAACATGGCACGAATCGCACACATTGAGTTGAGCTCCCACGGTGCGCATGTGCACTAAACTTCATATAGAGGGCAATTTGGCGGTAATTCTTCTGCATGTGTTTGGGGGAACTAGGGAGAAATTGTAGGGTGCGCCATAAGCTGCCACAAATTGCACGTAGAAAAAGGGCACGGTTTTCGTGCGAATCGCACGCGTTGAATTGAGTGCGTGCAGTACAGATGTGCACTAAACTTCGAACGGATGGCAATTTGGTGGCACTTCGTCCGCACGGGTTTGGCGGAGTGTGGGGCAAATAGTAGGGTGCAAAATTGTTCACAAGATACCATAATTGTGCACAAAAAAATGGCACAATTTTTGCGCGAATCACACGCATCGAGTTGAGCGCGCGACGTGCACATGTGCACTAAACTTCATACGGAGGGCAATTTGGTGGTACTTCTTGCGCATTTATTTGGGGGAATGTGGGGCAAATAGTCAGGTGCACAATTTTGCACAAGCCGCCACAATTGACAACAAAAAAAAGGTACGGTTGTCCCGTGAATCGCACGCATTCAGTTATGTGCGCGCGGTGCGCAAGTGCTCTAAACTTTGTACAGAAAGCAATTTGGTGGCACTTCTTGCGCACGTATCTGATGGAACGTAGGGAAAATAGTTGGGCGGAAAATTATGCACAAGCCGCCACAATTGCGCGGAAAAAAATAGGACAGTTTTTGCCCGAATCGCACGCGTTGAGTTGAGCGCGCGCGGTTCGCATGTGCACTAAACTTTGTACGGAGGGCAATTTGGTAGTACTACTTGAGTCCTTGTTTGGGGAAACGTGGGCCATTATGGTAGGATGCACAATTGTGCACTAGCTGCTACAATTGTGCACAAAAAACGGCACGATTTTAGCGTGAATCGCACACGTTGAGTTGAGCTCGCGCGGTATGCATGTGAACTAAACTTCATACGGAGGGCAATTTGGTGGCAGTTCTTGCGCATGTGTTTGAAGGAACCAGGGAAAAATTGTAGGGTGCATCACAAGCTGCCACAATTGCACTCAAAAAAGGGCACGCATTGAAGAACCCT